GGTACAAAAAATCTAATAATGGCAGCCCAATCACGAAAATCCCAATCCAAAAAAAATATTTGTCCAAATAAAAGAGCTCAAATCTGGAATTGTGATATTACTGAACAAAGACCCAAATTTGAAATTGCCGAACTGAACCAACCTCTAGCCGATGAATGCACTGAATCTATCCAAGAATAGGCATTCTCGTCGACGACTAATCTACAGGAGAAGATGTCTACCACCACGATGCAACTAGAAATCGACACAACGGGAAATAAAAAATTCCACGCCAGGACACAATCGAAAATTGACCTACAGAGAGCTCTAAAGACTAGGAGTGCACTGGCTATCGTCGACTGCACTTTACTCACCCGAGGATGCCGATCGATCTCAGAATCCGAGAACGAAAGCCCAAGTCCAGGACCAAAATATTAACCGAGAGAGATAATTCTTCAAAAATTCAAGGAAAGCTCTGATACCATGTCAATTTGATTTCAATTACCTTTCAATGGAGGATTTCCTTTCAATATATAGAGAGTCGTGGCTCAATAAATGGCAAAAACATAGGTAATTACATCAATTTGTCTACCTCTAAATATAAAAAGAATATATTATTCTATATACAAAAAATACTAACTAGAGTAACCAGAATAATCCTATTTGACAATTCTTATTCTTTTCTTTGGGTTTGGGATTCTGAGATTCCATTTCTTATGAGAATTTAGATAGTACTGATATTGTTTCTTATTTTGATTTAGTTTCTTCTTTATGTGTAACAATTCTCGATACTTAGATTCTCTTGACTCAGCCTTTAATTAAAGTTCTTTACTCCTCAAGGTTGTAGTTATCTTATCAATAGTGCTTTCTTGACCCCTATACTCCAATGCATTTCCAATGTCTCTATATTTATCACTTAGAGAATTTAACAGAGCAACAACTTGTTGATCATCAGAAAGTTTTTCATCACAATTTGATAGGTCGAGAATCAGTTTTGTAAATCTGTCAAGATTTTCTTCCAAGTTAGATGAGGGATCAAATCTAAAGTTATAGAACTGTCTTAGGAGATGACATTTATTTGGCATGGCTTTGGTTAGGTACAATGATTCTAACTTAGTCCACAATGCCTCAGCCAATCTAGTTTCACCTACTTTTCTAATAACATTATAGACGAATGCAAGAAAATTGTACTCCATGCAGTATCACTTAACTCTTATCTCCTATATGCACTTATTTCTGCAACCCATTTTCCATTCGGGGTTGCAGCACATCTTTGTTGCAGTAATAATTCCCTCATCTTCTGGCGTCAGAAACTAAAGTCTCCATTACTATTCCAAGTCTCAATTTCAAATTTATGTGTCGTAGATATGATGACAGATATATGCACACAACAGCACTTATACGACACACAGATTATGATGATTCAGGCAACTCATTGAATTGATAGAAATATGAATAACCAGTAAAGGAGATACAAAAGTTATGCCTACTTGTTTATGCAATTCGTCAAATCAATATATATTGCAATTCAAATAGTATATAGTTGATTTGAAAGGGTTTAAGTGGTCGTAACCCTTGATTCCACTGCCTCCTCAGATTCTCAGATCCTCGCTTGGGATCTTCGACAAATGAAAGTAATGGAGGATTACTTACCTTAATAACTGATTCCAAATACAACAGAGAATTAGCAAATTAAGGAGGGGTTTAAGAAATATCAGAAATCTAAAAGTTGAATGTTCCAGAATATAGGGAGCACCAAGAGAATACTTGAATTGGACCAAGATTTGCAGAACAGATTCAAGAGATCAACGAATCACTAAGACTCAGTACAAACTCAGTAGTGAGTGAAAAACTCAGCAAGAATCGAAGCGAATCAGCCCAACTCGTCAAAACTTAGTATGAGTCAAAGAACCAATAAAACACAAAAAAGGTCAGTATCTTGAATTGTCAAAAACTCGGTAAAAAATAACAAATCAAGCAGAGTTGAAAGGCAAGTTATAGTGAGTTTTTGAGAAAACAATTTTATCTCACAAAACAAGAATCGATCATCACAAGATCCACACAGTAAAGCTAACCAAAAGAATTTTCCACACAATTAAACCGCTCTGATACCACTTGTTAAGCACAGATACGTTTTATCTTTTGGATTACTGATTCAAATACAAAGAAATTGCAAAAAATTAAAAATCAAAACACAAAATATGTTTCGTCCTAAAAAAGGGCCCAGATGTTCAGTTTTGTGACCTAATCACCCATTGAGCATCTGAAATTAGATATAGCTCTAGATCCACTAAGAATATCCAAGAAATAGTTACAAAATGTACGAAGAAACCATGAGTTTCTTTGAGTTCTTTCTAGCCTCTTTTCAACCCATAATCACTCTACACTCAATCTCAAATGACTACTAAATATTCATTTTACAAGACAAGATTGAAGAAACCACAAAGGTTCGATTACGGATCTCAAAAAAGTGAATAACTCTAACTATCACTTAGAGAAAGGGAAGAGACGAATGAAGCAGTCTTGAAGCATCTGGAATGAGAAAAAGCAAAGACCAAGTTAAATATTCGGTCAAATCAAGAGTCATGATCCAAGGGACGGAAATCAACCACATGGATGGCTGACACTCATTCCTTAAGAGGCAAAGTCCCATAACCACTTAAAACGTGTTTCTTTAAATGTTATAACCCGGATCAATCCAGTCCAATTAACACTGGTCCAAGCAGGCCAAGAAATATGAGGCAGCCCAAAGCAATTAACAGAAACTACGCAAGAAATTAAACTACCGCATTAGTGAAATGATTGTAAGAAAAGTTTAGGGAGACTTTGGAGTTTGTGGAAGAAAACTGGCATTTTTTATAAATTGAACATATAAAGAAAAGAAGGAATGTTACATATGTATCATTTTCTCGTGTGATTAGAAAATGCATTCTCCATGTGCATGCACACAATATGCCCTTGATTGCCAAGTAGAACAAAATATCAAAAATGAAAATGGTTTCTGCTTAAGTGAAGAAATTACAATTGAATACCATATGTCATTAAACTCTTCCATGGTTGAAGGGATTTGATTTATCCTTGGCTAAATACTTGATATGAGGAGGGCAATCTGATTTGAGGACTATTGAGTGGAGTTGTTCTTACATGACTGAAGGCTTATTCTTAGATGATATAGTGAAGAGCTCTTTCCCTCAATTAAAGACTTTAATAGAGGATGACCGAGAGGAGTTTACTTTCCTTGAGAAAAGGTTTTATTTGAAGGTAATTGGGAAAATCTGTTCTTTCTACTAGTCTACTTGATTACTTAGCCCTTCATTATTTTGACTCGGTGTTAATGTACATGTGCTCAAATTTTAAATATACCTTGGAATATCATTAGTATCCTGTAACATATCCTTCACCCCTTTAATGATCTAAACCAAAACAGCGTATCAACTTCGTGTTTCATTGAAGTAGACATTCTTGCTGGTTGATTTGAAGATCTTCTCCCTTCTCCTCCTCCTCTCCTTATCTGATGTCGAATGGATCCTAAGTATGTTTCTCAGTTTGCCTTCATGAACTTTAAATGTATTGATCAAGTGCATAATTTTCCTTAATAGGCATGCTTAATTTGATTGTAAAATTGACGTAAGACTCTTGATGGTCGAAATATCAGGGTATTTCCAAGAATTAATATTCCTTAATTCCTGGTATTTTGGTTTTGTCAGAAATATTCTACACACAGACCTCAGTTATCAACAGGCTAAATGGCCAAGAAAATATTGTTGCTCATAAGTATTAGTCAAAAAACAAAGTAATATCTCAATCACTTTTGTTGTTGAAGTGTTTTTGTGAATTGCTCCCTTGACAACCTCTCATTTCTTTTCTGTGACGTGTTGTGTGGAGACCTTAAAGCTGGATAATATTATTCAACACCGGCCAAAGTTTAAGGACCAATACAAAAAGAACTACACTATTAACTAAAGCGAAGAATGCAGACAGTAGAAAATATTTAGACACCAAAATTTCCAGAAACTACATAATATTTTAAATATATGAAAAGACTACAAATTACTTGAAACGAATCCTCAATAAAAGTGTGTACTGAGTGAGATTGTAAAGAATCTCAAAGAGAAACCGAAAGATAATTCCCTTTCATCTTTTCCCCATATATATGTGTATATATATATATATATATTTTTTTTTTTTTTTTTTTTTTTTTTTTTTTTTTTTTTTTTTTTTTTTTTTATTTTTTTTTTGTTGGTAAACGGCAATTATGCATACTGAAGTGTAGCGCCCATCTTATGCATTAGTCTAGTTTTTATCTTAAAAACTATGGTAGAATCAAAGCACTAAGGGGGATAAACAAGTAGGCTAATTCTGTGCATTTGTCTAGGTTTATTTTTAGGGTAGTAACAAAGTGCTAATGGGGAGAAAAAGTTAGGCTAAGTCTTCTCTTTCAAGATGGGAGAAACAATGCTGCAAACTTGGTAAACAGTATGCAATTACATTGATGTGATATACTATGATAGCTGAATGTTGATTAATGTAGTAGAGTTATATATACATGCTTTATGCATGTATAGTGATTTTGTTTCCGTCTATTGTCCTTTGGGAAGCATTCTTGCTTTGATAGACGTTTCCAATTGTTGAAATCAATGTTTAAATTATATACATTTGATCTTATCTAACAGTATAAGTTCTTAGATTAAATGGTTCAACATGATATCACTAGATTCACTACATGCAAAGGCCCAGGGTTCAAGTCTTTCACCACCCATTTTATTAAAAATTGTACAAGTGCAAGGCTTTCATTAAAAAAATAAAAATAAAAATTTCGCTTACACGTGAGGGGCGTGTTAAAGATAATATTCAAGTGATATACATTTTGCCTTGTTTAATAGTTTAAACTTTTAGATCAAATGGTTTAACATCCAATAAAATGCGCAACATCTACTAAGTTGTACGTTTAAATTTCATGATCTCCACAACGAGACTAAGGTTTACTTTGGATGAATATTTCTCCGTTGTGGTTTTTGTAGTGTCAATAAAACCATACAACGCTATCAGAAGGATGTCAAGAACAGAGCTATCAAACAAAAACCAACTGAAGAAAATATTCAGGTCAGCATTCTTCTCAGTCAAGCTAATTATTCTGTTGTATGATTGATAAGCTGCAATCAACAGCTTAACTTGTTCTTTGTCTTCTTTTTTTGCCTTTCCATTAATTCGATGATGTTAGTTATAAGCTCAATTGTTCAACTAATCAAATGAACATGGTCTGGCACCAACTTTTGCACAGGAGAAACCGATCTAAATATGTTAAAATATTTAAATTTTAATCACTTATTTTGATACTAAAGGAGGGATCATTATAAACTCTTAAAATTTTTAATACAATGCATCAGAACATTAATTCATCAAATTAGAGAAGGGGAATACCCAAGTTGTGAAAAAAATGAACGCGACTGGGGTACATAAACGGATTCTGTGTATCTGCAGCTAAATGTTTTTTATTAGAACTTTTGATTGCATTCAAACTCGGTTTAATTCTTACTTATTGTGATGTTTACACTGTTCAAATATTATTGAATAGCTTTATTATTACAACTCATCATCTTAGCTGTTCTATTTAGATTAAATGTATGATCACGGTTTATAACTGTCTAGTACGTCCATCTTTTAAATGCTGTCACGTTCTTGAGTTCCAAAAGATTATTTTTTTATTTTTGCTCTACCTTTTGTTTACTGGATCTATGGCAGAATTTGAGAAGCGAGACTGCTGATTTGATGAGGAAGATCGAGCTCCTTGAGGATTCAAAGAGGTTGTTCTCCTAGTCTGATTCTTTCCTTATAAGCTGCTAATTGTTAATATTGCACACCTAAAAGGTTACTTCATGTTGGCTAAACCCAAAAGGAGTACTTGTAAATATGTTTTAAATAAATCGCTTTGCATTAATTGAACTTTGAACAGTTAAGTTTTTAATTTTGACAAAAAGTTATTGATTGATTTGAAAGTAACTTTTTTCTCCTTAAAAATGTAAATTATCAAACTACATTTGTAAACAAAAACATACTTAGAAGTAACTTAAAGTATGCGACTGAGAGACATTCAGCAACTTCGAATCTTCGACTCATACAGAAAGCTTCTGGGTGATGATTTGGATGCACGTTCCATGGAAGAATTAGAAGAAATCGAAGAACAGTTGCAACAAAGTTTAATCAGCATTAGGGCAAGAAAGGTATGTCATAACATTTTTTCCAGTCCTTAAAACAAACTGCTGACATGAAAAATAATCTTGACTAAGAATGTTATTCGAAAATGCTCAGAATTTATTGTTCAAAGCGCAGATTGATCAGCTGAAAGAACAGGTAATTTATGTCTTTAAAAATCAAGATTTCTCATGTAAAAAATTCACATTTTTATGTACAAAAATGTTCTGCCAGTGCTTGTTAAATATTTTGAAAATATTTTGAGCCTTTTTCTTTGATAATGCAGGAGAAAATCCTAGCAAAACAAAACAAAGAATTAAGGAGAAAGGTGAGTCTTACACACTAATTTTATTAAAGAAAGTGATGTTTGATCTCTACATCTTCAATTTTGGCTTTCTAGTTTATGCGGTAAAAGTATGAGTCAAGTGAAAAATCAAATTTAGAGCATGTTCTCTCTGTTAGATTGAATAAGATTAGACACTATTAAAGAAGAAACACGTGAAATGTTTGTTCATTGTCCTATGCAGTTCAAGTTTACTCAGCACACAACCAAACATGCCATAATGACCTATAGGGTAAGACATAGACTGTAGTACTAGACAATATCATAATGTGTCTATATCGATGGACGATTGATGAGTTGAGGAATAATAGGACTATCAATTCAACAAAGTCTACCAGAAGCCAATTATTTTGAGTTAGGGTTGTATCTAGAGGTGTAATGTTGGGTTGGGTTGCACCTTAGTCAGGTTTGCCCTTGCCGCGTTTGGAGAGACTTCTCGAGTAGGGCATCATTTTTATGGATGGACTGGTTCGTCAAAATTTGTCTGCCATTTGTGTCATGATGAAGAGGTAGCAACTCAGTGGAAGAAGTGGAGAAGAATGAAGAAAGAGAACCAACCGTAACTATATTTCAAATGGGAACGAGGGGGGTGCACACTTGGCAATTAATTGTAGTTTTTGTCTATTACGTTTCTTGTATTTGAATACGTTTTTTTTCTTATTGCAGTAGCATATATATAGAGACCACACGAGTGAGGTAGGGAGAGTTTGGATGTAAAACCAATTCAGTTATTCTATCTCCTCTTTTGAATTTCTCTCTGCTGTTCTTCTTTTTCTTCTTCTACTACTTAAGTTCTTCTTGCCCATTTCCAATTTGTGATTATTTCTGAAATTGAGTTTGAATTGCAGCTTCCTTGGACTTTGGCCTTCAATTTGGTACTAATTTTGAGTGAGTTCATCATCAACTTGAGCTTCACTCATTACATTTAGTATCAGAGCACTTAGTTCCTAGATAAGAATGGAGACTAGATAGAAAGCTACTGAAGAAAATCTAAAGAGCCTTGATAAGGAATTGAGTGAGTAGGGTGCTGTTGTTGCTTCTCTCATTGATAAGGTTGATTCAAAGTTTGATAATATTGATCGATATATGCATCAAATGAATGAGATACATGAGGCTGTTGTTGCTCTACTGGCTAAAATAATTGCATCTCAAGAGAAACGAGTAGAAGGATCCAACTGTGGATCGAATTTTGATGGTGGAGCGTTAAGTGTGAAGTCTGGTAAGGAAGACATATCAGGAGGGGGTCCTTTTGATGTTAGAATGAACACCAAAATCCCCAAAATCGATTTTCCCCAGTTTGAGGGAGATAACCCAAGAGAGTGGGTAAGAAAAGCCAATAAATATTTCCAAATACATCAAGTGACAGAAGAATTGAAGGTGGAAATTGCAGAAATGTATTTGAAAGGAAGGGCTGACATATGGTTCCATGGCTTCCTAGCTAGTAATCCCAGTGCTAGTTGAAACCTGTTGGTTGCGAAAATTTGTAGAAGGTTTGCGGAGGCCATTGGCGATGATGTAGTGGAGACCTTTAGCAAGATCAAACAATATGGTGGAATAGCTAAATACATGGAGAAATTTGAGGATTTAAAAGCTCAAGCTATGTAAGCCCTACCCAACCTACCTGAATCCTACCATATTAGCATTTTTACCAGTAGACTGAAAGGAGAAATTAAATCCATGGTCAAGATGTTCAAACCTAGCACACTAACCCAATCCTTTAAAATAGCTCAACTCCAAGAGACCACCATCTTTACTATAAATAAGAACTCTAAAACCACTAAGCCATTTACTACATCAAACACTCTTTATACTCCTCAGCCTGAACCACACAACCTAACCCCTAAAATATCTAGTCGAGTTCAGAAAATTCAACCCCCACCCTATAAGACCATCTCCCAACTGATATCCAAACCAAAAGAAACCTAAGGCTTTACTTTAGGTGTGATGAGAAGTACACCCTAGGGCATGTTTGCAAGAATAGGATGTTGAACTTTATGGTGGTGGATGAATAAGATAAGGGTGATGATAGAGAGACTGGTGATCCTGATGGAAAAGGGAATGAGGAGTTTGAGGGGGAAGAAATTACGCAAATCTACTCATTGATAGTGGAAGCACCCATAGCTTTATAGATGTGAGACTAGTTCATTCGTTAGGATACTTGACAGATAATACCAAACCAATTATGGTGGCTGTGGCAAATGGAGAAAAGCTTGAGAGTAAGGATGTATACCAGCCAATGACTTGGCAAGTGCAAGGGCTGGAGTTCCAATTTAGACTAAGGTCCCTAAAACTCGGGGAAAGTGACATAGTATTGGGGTGAATTGGCTTAGTCAATTTAGGCCAATAACCTTTGATTTTACGAAGGTATATATTAGATTCATGCATGATGGGAAAGAAGTAGAGCTAAGCAGTAAACTTACAAGCGGTAGGATCGAAATGATCAGCAGAGAGCAGATGGATAGATGGATGGGAAAGCAAGGATATGGGATCATGGGACAGCTGTATGCCATCACAGATGTGGATTAAGTAGAAACCCCAGAAGAACTAAAGCCAGTTTTAACTTACTTCCAGGATGTATTTGCTGAACCTAAGGGACTACCTCCGACTCGAAGCCATGATAATCAGATTAACCTTAAAGAAGGAGCTCAACCCTTCAAACTCAGGGCCTACAGATGTCTCTTTATTCGAAAGACTGAGGTGGAACAATTGGTTAAAGAGATGATGGAATCGGGAATCATTCAACCTAGTAGCAGCCCTTTTGCGTCACCTGTACTATTGGTCAAGAAAAAAGATAGAACTTGGAGGTTTTGTGTTGACTATAGGCAGCTCAACAGCTTGACTGTGAAGGAAAAATACCCTATGCCAAATACCCTATGCCCTTGATTGATGAATTAATTGATGAACTCTATGGAGCTAAATACTTAGAGAAGATTGATCTTAGAGCGAGATACCATCAGATAAGAGTTAAGTAGAGGATGTTTATAAAACAGCTTTTAAGACTCATCAAGGCCTGTATGAATTTAAGGTCATGCCTTTTAGGCTGACCAATGCCCCCGCTACATTCCAAAGCCTGATGAATGAGGTGTTTAAGGGCAGTTGAGAAGGTATATACTAATTTTCTTTGATGATATACAAGTATATAGTGTAGATATGCCCAGCCACTGTGAGCATTTGGGAGCTGTACTACAACTACTCAGAAAACATCAGTTGTATGCTAAGTTGAGTAAATGCTCTTTTGGGCAAAAGAAGGAACAACGGTATCAGTGGACCCTAAGAAAGTGGTTGCAATGCAGTCATGGCTTGTGCCAACTAACATCAAACAACTAAGGGGATTTCCTGACTTGATTGGCTACTATAGGAAGTTTGTAAAGGGGCACCTTACTAATTTGCTTAAGAGGGATAATTTTGTATGGTCTAATGTAGCAGAAACAACATTCAATAATCTTAAATTAGCTATGAACTCCACTCCAGTGCTAACTTTACCCAACTTTGAACAACCTTTTGTTGTGGAAATAGATGCATGTTATGGAGGCATACGAGCAATACTGATGCAAGATAGGAAGCCCTTGGCATACATCAGCAAGGCTATCGGGCCAAGGAGCTTGGGAATGTCAATGTATGAGAAAGAACTCTTGGCTTTAGTCACTGCGGTGGTGAAATAGAGGCATTACTTGATGGGTCACCATTTCATCATTAAAACTGATCATCAATCCTTGAAGTTCTTGCTTGAGTAGAGGATAACCACATCCTTGTAGCAAAAGTGGCTTACTAAATTAATAGGTCTAGATTAAGAGATTCAGTACAAAAGGGGGACAAAGAATGTGGTAGCAGATGCACTCTCTAGGAGGGTGGAAAGTGATGGAGAACAGAGATGGATTTGGGGGGCTAGGCTGGGCTATAGTCCCCTACACTCAGGCCCAATAACATTTTTTTAAGGTATTTTTTATTTTTATTTTTTGGTAAAAAACCAATTTTTTGTGTAAATTTTTTTTTCCCACGTGCCCGATTTGAAATTTTGTAGTCCAGTCTTGGATCTGTCCCTGATGGGGAATGTATTACTATTACTCACTTAATACCAACATGGGTAGAAGAGGTGATTTCTAGTTATGAAGGAGATGATCTTGTTGAACAGAAAATCGCAGCCCTGCTTCTTGATGCAACAACGAAGCCTGATTATCAGTATAAAAATGGCATTCTTAAGTACAGGGATAAGCTATATATTGGTAGTGGAAGGGATATCAGGAGAAAATTAATCCAGACTATACATGCCTCACAAGAAGGGGGACAATCCGGAATACAAGCTAGCATATTTAGAGCCAAACAAAATTTTTATTGGCCAGGCATGACACAAGAAATTAGAAGAGAGGTGCTGCAGTGTGACATATGCCAGAAATGTAAAGATGAACACTTGCTATATCCCAGCCTACCTGAACCTCAGCATTCATGGAGTCGTATATCCATGGACTTCATTGAGGGGCTACCAAAATATGAAGGGAAGGATGTTATCTTAGTGATAGTAGACAGATTCACTAAGTATGGCCACTTTCTCATCCCTTTACAGCAAAAAGGTGGCCCAATTGTTCTTGGATCATATTTATAGACTCCATGGCATGCCTCAGAGTATTATCTCTAATAGGGATAAGATTTTTACTAGCACCTTTTGACAGGAGTTGTTTAAGCTCATGGGAACTACTTTACGGCTCAGCTCATCTTACCATCCACAAATAGATGGCCAAACTGAGAGGTTGAATCAGTGCGTTGAGCTATATTTCATATGCATGACATACCACAAACCTAAGGCATGGGCTAAATGGATACTTTTGGCTGAATGGTGGTACAATACCACTTACCATTCAGCCATTAAGCGAACACCCTTTAAGGCACTATATGGGATTCCACCACCCCAGTTAGCCATGGGACCTTATCAACAAACAAGTGTTGCTATGCTAGAAGACACCTTGCAAGAGAGCTATAAAATGGATCAGCAATTAAAGGAGAACCTAGCACAAGCAAGAGCCAGAATGAAAATGTATGTTGATAAAAATAGGACCAAGAGGCAATTTGAAGAAGGGGATTGGGTATACTTGAAATTACATCCATATAAGCAGCAGTCCATTGCCAAGAGGATTAATCAGAAGCTGAGTCCTAGATACTATGGCCCTTATCAGATCGAAAAGAAGATTGGAAATGTAGCATACAAATTGGTACTTCCCAACCAAGCAAAAATTCATCCCAAATTTCATGTATCACTACTTAAGCAGAAGATAGGAAGCAGAACAGTGGTTGTAGAGTAGTTACCATTTGGAGAGGAGGTGGTGGAACAACTAGAAGAAGTGCTTCAAACCAGAATTTTCAAAAAGGGAAATCATGCAGGAGCTGGGTGACTAATCAAATGGACTGGACAGACCACAGAAGAGGCTACTTGGGAAGATTCACTGGACATACAGAAGAAGTATCTTAATTTTAAACCTTGGGAAAAGGTTTAGATAAAGAGGAGGGATGTCATGATGAAGAGGCAGCAACTCGGTGGAAGAAGTGGGAAAGAATGAAGAAGAGAACCAACCATCAAATGGGAATAGAGTGGGGTCCACACCTGGCAATTAAATGTTGTTTTTGTCTATTATTTTTCTTGTATTTGAATATGTTTTTTTTTTTTTTTTTAAATTGCAGTAGCATATATATAGAGACCAGACGAGTGAGGCAAGGAGATTTTGGATACAAAACCAATTCAGTTATTCTATTTCCTCTTCTAAATTTCTCTCCGCTATTCTTCTTCTTCTACTACTTAAATTCTTTTTGCCTATTTTCCCATTTGTGATTATTTTATGAAATTGAGTTTGAGTTGCAGCTTCCTTGGACCGTGGCCTTCAATTTGGTACTGATTTTGAGTGAGTTCATCATCAACTTGAGCTTCACTCATTACAGTTTGCCAATATAGATTGACTCAACTCATTACGTTTGACAGATCTAATTGTATGGAGTGGAAATAACTTCTCATTGATATTATTATTCATTGATTATTACTAAAGCAATTGATTAAATATTCGGTATGTGCAGTGTGAGATGGTGACATTGTCACTGTCAATAATTCCAGACTTGGGGGCTCTTGCTCAAATTAAGGAAGCCGAGACGGCATTGTTCATAGGACCTCCCGAAAAACGAGCCACCAATTAGTTTGCATAAATTTAATTTGATTTCATCAACAAATATAAATGCTTGCTTCTATGTTTGTTCTTGTTTTTTTATGGAGGAAAACTTATATGCCTAAATTCGGGAGCTGAAAATTCATGCTTTTATGGTTATATATATTATTGTAGAGTATCTATTGCAGGAAGATGTATATCGTTGAATCATTTTTCATAATGGAGAAATTATGAAGTTCTTAGTCTGGATTTTAATCCTTTTTTCTTTTCTTTTTTTTCTTTCAATGAACATGCAGTTCGACATCACAATGCAAAAATGAAGTGTTACACCATTGAAGATTTTAATCTCTCTCTCTCTCTCTCTCTCTCTCTCTCGGGTAAATGTTACATGAAAATCGTGATAGTATATAGATTTACCCTCTGACGATCATTATTTTCAATTTCATTTTTTATACACTCATTTTCAACTACACGTTTACACAATAAAATATTTTGTACGTGGATTTAAAAATTTTTCTTACTTTTTAATCACATTTTCTCTTAAAAATTACTGTTTGAAATTCTATTTTTTCCCAATAATAGGCTTTGTCCTATTAAGATTCTTCTTCTATCAAAATTCTGTACGTGTTAAGCATGGTAAAATTCTAAATTTACTTGTCATTTTTTCTTTTTTAATTATCTAAATACTGACTTTTTATTCCCTACACCATCATCTATGGCCGTTGACAACCACTACCGCCAGCACCTCCATTTACCACCATTACCAATACCGTACCACCACCTGCCTCTACTATACTCCTTTGCTATCCCAATGAGACAGAGATCAGATCTGATTTTTGATACAAGACATGATTTCATTATGAAACTAGATGCAAATTCATTAGGAAATTACTTGTCGACAAAACCTTCCTTTTTTTTTTTTTTTGGCGGAAATGAAGAATTCTTTCAGCTCCGCTTTAGATGTCATCTTCTCTGAGTGGCAGCGAGTTTTAGCATGTACGGCCTCACCATTGATTTCAGCTCGCCTATCTTGGAATAACCTCAGAGGGTGGGGTTCTTTATCCTGAAACAAGAAAAGTGGTAATGAGTTTTTGGTTTTAGATTTTTTTTATTTTTTTTGGGGTTCTCTATACTGAAACAAGAAAAGTAATTTTAGAACGAAAAAAGATTTAAAAGTAAGTTTGAAATTAAATAAACTTTTAAATGTATTTTTTAATTATACCCTAAATTTTATTCCTCTTTAATATTTTTATAGATCAGTTTATATTATTAACAAGGGCCTCACTTTTTCTATAATTTGTAAATTTAAATAATTATTAAAGCAATTCCTACAAATTATAAGTTTTGGATGAATTAGGTCTAGTATGGTTCAAAACTTAAGACTTTGAAAAATATACTGAATTTTAAATAAAAGTAGAAAATATGTTGCTTAAACTCAAAAATCACTAAGGGTTAAAAACATGAAATTTATTTTACATAATCGGAGACCCTAAATCTTTGGATGATTTGGCGATTTTGGAGCAAAAATCTTCTCTTGCATCATAGCTTCTTGGCTATTTGTGAATCTTTGTTGATTTTATGTCAAATTTATCCATGGTTGAAGTAGATAAAACTAGTGCCGTGAGTTGAATCCAATCAAGAGAAAACGTAAGAGTATTGAAGGAACTTTTTCAAATTTCAAGAACTGTGAGCATATGAATTTCTAGGTAATATGGCTTAAACATTTTTTAAAGTTAAAATTCGAATATATTTGAAGGAGTTTTGGTCATAGATTGTGATGGGTTTGTGTAGAATTGCATCGAAAAATTGCTATTACAATATGTTGGATTAGATACTTGGGCTAAATTGCACACTCTTTTCCTCTGATTTTCGTAGACACACTAATATGTCCCAACTGAAATTTACTTCTACGTAATAACATTATGCGTATGAATAGTTATTGCAAAGCGGGAGTTTGGGTGGATTTTTATTAGATAATTGATGATATTAGTATTATCAATTTATTGATTTTACCTTGTATATCTTGAAAATTGTGCTAAATGCCACCATGATTGAACTTGATTACAAACTATAACAATATGAATTGGTTCATACAAAATGTTTAATTAGCAATATTGTATGTTGATAGGCTTACACTCGATAAAAAATTTCATTGCTAACAGACACTGTCGGGTGAATTTTAAAGTTGTGAACAAGATATTCTTGAGTCAAACTTGAGCAAGCATGCTACGTCAAATAAGATAAACATTATGTGACTTTTTACAGAAAGTTGCATACTAGATAACTTTTTAATGCATCATTTTATTTCACACTCAATCCAACAAAACATTAAAAATAGAGCTAAATATCATCTTAAAGGGTCTTATAATCACTATTTAAACTTAGCCAAAGATCCTATTTTGAATAAGTTAAGATAAATATTATATGACTTTTTAAATAAAAAGTTACACTGTATGTGACTTTTCATAGGCAGCAGAGTAAATAGGAAAATTACAGCTAAATATCATCTTAAGGCCCCTTAATTATACTATAAACTCAATGAATCATGGTATGTCACATAAGTTGAAATAAAACTTGAATTCTGCCACATGTACAGAACAATTTTTTTTACAGATATCTTACAGAATACACACAGCATGGGATGAGTGAGTTATTTTTTGGATTATTATACTCACGTGGAGCTCACTCCGCATGTGAGTATCTAGAATTCTTCTATAGGGCATAATTCTGTACATAGAATTTTTGATAAAACTTTTAGAGAAAAAGTTACGCTGTGTACAATTTTGTAAGCAAAAAGTTACAACTAAATATCATTTAAATGTTCTTTAATCACATTTTAAACTCGACCAAGTATGCTGAACCTATCTGACATAAGTCAAAATAAAAATTATGTGACTTTTAAAAGTTCTTTATATCATTTAAAAATTATGCTGAATGTCATATTCTAATGCATCATTTTAATTCACAGACAACATTTCATTAATCACCATTAAGCTTAGCCAAACATTATATATTTCAAATAAATCAAAATAATATTAGAGAGAGAGAGGTGCATAACATGTGACTTTAATGAAAACCTAATCAACTTTAGACTTTTTTTTTTTTTTCCTTGTAACTTTTTTTCACCAGATTTTTCCAAGGACCCCTTGATATTGTGGGAATTTGTCTAAGGGTCCCATAAGTTTTCTCGACTTATAAGCAACAAAAAGAATCCAAAATAAAACGATCTAACGAAGAAGCACTGCTATGTGAAAATTATACCCACACATGATTTTCAACTTTTAACTTCAAAAATTATATTTAAAAAGTTACTTATTTAAAAATAGGGTCATAATTCAAATTTTTAACACTAATGATATTATTATTAAATCTCTATCTCTCTATCTAAACCCTACTCCCACAGCCACTCGCTTTTGTTGACAACCACTTTCATTCCATCATCAACTCTGCATCCTCCACTGCCTTTTTGCCTTCATCCACCATTGCACGCAGCAACGCTAAGCAGCGTTGTTTTGTGACGACGATGATTTTGGGGTGGTTTCTTCTTCATCTAATCTAATCTGACATGCTTAGCCAAAGTCCTGGGATAGTTTTTGCTGGTCGTTGCTTGTGGTTTGTGCTGATGTTTGTTTTGCAATTTCAAATGGTGGTTGTTGGTGGTGTTGAGGTAGCGTGGCGTTCGTTATTTGTGACCAATAAATAATATGTGAGCTAAAAAATGTGAGATTATGGCTAAATTTTAATCATGACTCACAATGTATTAAGCTGTGATAAATTAATTTGACAATTTGTGACCGTGAATAAGTTGTGTCCTATAAATTTTGTGATTTGTACCGAATAATAATGTGTGACATATTAATTTGATAATTTGTGATGATAAATTTATTGATCTATAAAATTTGTGATCCGTTATTGATAAAAATAAAATAAAAAATGCTTGACCAATTAATTTGATGATATGCGATCAATAAATAAGTTGTGGCACATAAAATTTATGATTGTAACATTCTGCGATGATTGTGACCATAAACTCTATGATATTGTGACTTAATATATTTAATTACCTATTTAATTAATAATATGTTTTTAATTATCTATTTAATTAATAAAATTTGAATCATGACCTGATTTTTGAAACTTTAAAACAAGTTACTTAATTTTGAAATTGTATTTTTAACTACCTTATTTATGTATTTTTCCGACAACTATTTTCATAGAAAAAGTTCCATATGCTCAATAATATTAGGAAGCCTTTACTATTTCTTTTAGGAAAATTGACACAAACAACATTTATATGGATTTGTAATTAGCACAAAACGTTACCTTGTTCGTTTGTTTCGCATTTTTACCTCAAATTTTCACATTTGATTGCAGAAATCATTATTTTCATCCATTTTTTCAACTAAAAATTGTGATATGACAAATATACCCTGTTATTAAAATAAAACGAAAAGAAAAATATAAAATAAATTGTAACTATATTCCCAAAATTTTCAGAAAGTACAAACAAATCCCAACTAAATAATTAAAAAACAAAAATCACTTTCTTTACTTCTTTCTTTTCCACCACCACTACAACCACATCCTTTTGGTGCCTCAGTCTTCTATGAAATTGGAGAATTGTCCAAATTCAGTGATATGTCCTGGAATCTATGACCTAACCTTCCTCATTTTTCTCTCAAAAGGGTGCCCCTCTATGGAGCTGCCACCAATTCCTCTCAAATCCATCGTGTTGCCGCCTCCAAGACCACCAAAATTTCACCTCTCCATCGGTTCCAATACTCCCTTGATCCATCACAACCAAACAATTATGTAAACAGCCACAAATTCGACTCAAAATCAGCCCTAGATACAATAAGAAATTCAATACTTTTTCACTGGTTTTGGCCATTCCGTCAATGCCCATGGTCGTCCACTATTGTTGGTCAATCCATCTCATCTAGTCACCCATACTCATGGAGAAACATCACAACAAAAGTACAATATGATACTGATATGCCTTGTAATTCCCTTTTATTGTGTGTAGAAACCATGGCCAGTATGCCTCTTTCAATTCATGGGTTTGAGAGGGTTGATTCACATAATTTGCCACAAATTAATCCTTGTTAACATCACACAATGGTGGGTGTGAATTTAATTACCCCAATTAACAGCCAAATTGATCCAAGTTTGACCACAAACTACCTACCGAACTCGAACGCCCTCCAGCACCTTCAATTCATTGGCCCACCATGCTCCATTCTATCCATTCATCCATGGGCATTTCAAATTAGGTTCATACTTCAATGGATATGCATCAAATTGGTCCAAATCATTCACCAATTGATTCAATTTTTTAGATTCAAATTTGGTTGTTGACTCTGCGAACCTACAATTCCAAATTCTCCTATTTCTGGAGGCTTTCAGACATTGGGAACACCACCAATGGATCTAGAAGCATTGAAAAGTGTTTTCCTAATGACATTATAAAATACAAATTGAGACAAAACTAATAGTATTGAATTTTTCAATCAAAAAATCCTTCTCAATATGGTGTGAGCTCCATCCCCTCCACTTCTTCTGACAACCATGCAATTCGAAATTGGGGCATTGGATGTTCCATTGCCCAATAATATACAGTTGGTGATTTAGATAATATTGTTGAAAATTGATTATTAAAAAAAAAAAAAAAAGTTGAACCTCAACCTTGAGGACCTCCATCGTTCCGCTCCTAGAGCTTTGTGTTGGAAGAATTTTGTGAATAGTGACGCCGAAATAAGTATAATGATGGTGACAAAGCCGAGGCAAGAGTTGGACTCTTTGTCCTTAAGTCGAATTTGCCCCGCAACGGTGCCTACAGATTTCGACAATCGACTCCCAAGATACAACGGCTACACTTGTGTTTGTAGCACTCCAAAACACAAGTACAACGAACCCAATGTAGGCTTATGTACTCCACAGATGAAATGAAAGAAAATCAAAATAAATGAAATGATTTTGATTTTGGATAGAAGAGAGGATGAGAGACGTTTTTGCATATCAAACTGTGAGGAATAGGACACCCAAAGGGTCCTATTTATAGACCATGAAGGGGTGTGGACGAAATGGTTGAGGCCAAACCATGCACCAGGTCGATCCCCGTTTGTGCGCCCCGAAGTGGCGAAGTGGCAAACAATTTTGCCTAAACGGATTGAGTCGAGCTTTTGAGTATTTGACCGAATTCGATACGAACTTTAATCGATTTTCAATTCTCAATTTATTTAACCAATATCCAACACTTTGTGAAGAAGGTAAATCGCGGGATGTGCTCCAGCAGGCCAGGGAACAAGAGCTGCCTGTACACTGCGCTTACAAGAAGTCAAATTCTATGTCTCAGGAATCAAACCCCTACACTGCTGCTGTCAGTAAGGCGTGAGATAACCTCACTCCTATCCTTTGCACCACTGGGCTATGTCTCGAGGGGCTGTTGAAAATTGATTATTGTTCGTGGTTGTGGTGGTGGAAGAGAAGGAGAAGGAGAAGGGAGAAAGATTTTTTTTAATTTTTAATATTTTAATAATTTATTTGAACATATTTACAATTTTTTAAAAAAATTTGAGAGTATGATTGAAATTTGTTCTTTATTTTTCCTTTTTTTTTGTTTATGTAAATAGAATGATATATTTGTCATTTTATATTTTTAATTGAGAAATTGGATAAAAATGGATAAAAACGATGGTTTCCACTAGTAAAAGATGAAAATAAGAGTGAAAATGTCAAAAAAGACAGGTAAAGATGTTTTGCACAATGATATTGAAAGGTAGAAAGGTAATTACCCTTATATGGATCTCATACGACTTGGAATAATAATGACAATGAACCAGGGCAACACTCTATGTCCTCGTCTCGTCGAGATTTTTGGAAGGTAGAAATGGATAGGCAAGGTGGAAAGGAGATTAAAATATCTCAATTTTTTTTTAATATAATTTTCTATTTAAATAATATTTAAATTTAAAAAAAATAAAAAAGTAAAAAATAATATTCGACACGGATTCGAGGCGAATACATGTTCTGGCCCTTCCCCACCCATTTGCAATAGAACAATATATAGGGATGTAAATTGAGTTTGTCGGCTCGAATAGCTCGTGGCTCGATTGGGCAGGCTCATGGCTCGGAGGCACCGAGCCCCATTTCAGGTGTCAACTTGAGCCCGGATTGGCTTGATAAATAATAAAAATATAAATGACAGCAAAAAAAATAAATAAATTATACACCTAAATTTAAAACTACCTTGACAGGCAGCTTGTTAAGACAGCAAATTTGTTGCCAATTAAGGTGGCTACGACACATATTTGCTACCAGTTAAGGCATAGGCAGCTGCTTTGCTACCGGCTAAGGGAGCTATCTAGGAATTATTTGAAAAAAAAAAAATGTTTGGCTCGGTAAGGTTCGAGTCGAAAGCTCAAGTTGAACCTAGATTTTTTAGCCAAGCAAAAGCTCAGGTTCCAAAAAAAGCTAGCATCATTTTACTCGAGTCGAGCTTAAGTCTCGAGTTTCTGCTTTCGAGCCGGCTCAACTCGATTAGTTGACATACCTAACAATATATGACGGAACGGAATATCTTAGCATACCTAAAATGAAACACTTATTTAAACTAAAATGTAACATTACTCTTTCCTATATTCCTCTAATAATAACGGGACGTTAACATTTTATAATAATCTCAACCATAAAATATTTTATTGTGCTACTTTGCTTTATTTTCCTTGTATGAAAAACCCTTTTTCCCTCGTGGCAATCTTGATAGTCAGTTGTTGAGAACATCATTTTAAAAGTTAAAATAGGGTTGAACTCTTCAACATTTCAAGTAGCGTGGTTTGAGTTCTTAACTTTTAAAAAGTGTCACGAGTCCCCCATCTATTTAAATATATAAATGTAGATCCTTAAAAGAAGAAAACCATCAATATAGATGTTAAAATTGCATATCAATTCAGGTGATTTAATGCTGGACATTAAATGATTTTGACGAATTGTGAAAAGAATAAATAACATGTTGTTTTCCATTTTATTTTACCTTTCTAGAAATAATTAATGTTATACTTACAAATTAAATGACATACAGATGACGGATGTGGTCCCATATATACGAACTTGGCATCGATTATTTAATTGGATTGAGCTAATTAATCAAGCAACATTGTCTTGAGCTTGGAGCTCGGTTCATTAGCCCACTTAATGTCACCAACGCATTTGAACACCAAGATATTGTTTTATTTAACCCAAGACAAATCTCATTATTCAATCTCTTGCACTCATATCATATCTTATCCAATCGTTGATTGAACCGTCGGATTACAAACGGTCATTGGACTTTTTTTTTCAGTCGGCAACCTTTGTTTTCTAACTAGATGTTCCAGTGTGCTGGTGACGTCTACGTGAAGGGGAGATGGCCGAGATTCTATTGGTGCATTTTTTGAGGTCAACAACTCCTTTTTGATTTTTATTTTATGGTGACTGTATGAGTGTTTTAGATGCAAAGAGGCCATCATTTTGTCTCACTTTAATCAAGATGTTCTTTTCTAATCATGCTACCAAAAAATTAATACAAGTTACAGTTATTTTCAAACATTTCAAAACTTTAATTTAGGGGGGCTGGGCTGTACCCCCACCCCCACTCAGGCCCAAGAGCTTTTTTTTTTTTTTTAAGGTATTTTTTATTTATTTTTTTGGTAAAAAACCAATTTTTTATGTGTAAAATTATTTTTTTGGCGTAGTAGTCCGGTCTTGGATCCAATTCTGGATTCGTCCCTAACTTTAATCATTTTGGACATATCTCACAATGAATATTGAGGGATGTACAAAATTGTTTAAATATCGTCTGATTCAATAGATACCTGATCAAAATCGATAAGTTTTCGATTTGAATGGTTCGATTTAGTTTTTAAAATTAGCAAATGGCATAAATCAATTTGGCATATATACATAGATATTCATTTCAATTTTTGGAAATTTCTGTTAAACCTTGAAATATTGATCTAATATATACACACATTATAACTAATTAACTAAGCCTTATTCCCATCGAATTTCACTCATTCAATTCGTTGCCAGGTGTAAACCAATCTATGTAGACAATTTCGATCACCATGAACGATAATGTTAATCAACTCACTAGGGAAGAATAAATACTCAAACTCAATCCGTCTCCATGGTGGAAGATCAGCAAAATTGTGCAATTAATTTGAATCAATTTTGCACAACCTAAACCTAATCAATAATAGACAAAGAATTATAAATATTAAATAAACAAGAAAACTTATAAATCAAGAAGGAAAAATCTATGTATACTCATCACCATGCTCAATTCTGGGCATGGTCCGAGTACTAGATGCAGTATGAGCACTTATATGCCCTACCATTGAAACTTGCAGAGCTTCCTCTTCGTACGCCCTCCTTTCAAGTTCGTCCATTCTTGCCTTCTTCTTTGCGTTAACAAACATTGCGATCAGCAACAAACTCAGAAGAAACGCCCCTAATGCAGCCCCAATCGTGCTTCCAATCGTTATCTTCCACTTGCTTAAAGTCGTCTTTTTCAATGGTGATTCGACTACCAATCCAAAATGACCATATCTTGTTGCAACACAAATATTATGGGACGCTTGATTAGCCAGTGTCACTTTTCCATCATGATAAAAACTTGCACATAAGGGTATCCCTGATGTGATATTGAGCCTTGTCGTATTGCTGAAATCTATAGTTATTGGTTTTTTCCCGGCCTGAATCTGAAGCTCAGATGGAGTACTAAGTTTTATGCTGTCACCAACGTTATATGCTAGTAGGCCTAAAACAGGCGAAATAAGTTGATAACCTGATAACTCATAATTATCAGAGTATATAGATGACCAGTTAGATCCAAGATTTTGTCTAATTATCAGAACTCTTTCAATGCAAGGATTCACAGTTACACCTATTCCAAGATGGAATTCCTTAATTTTGGCACCGTACCTTTGAAGACTACCACAACGATATCGCACTGTATCGACTGTTATGCCTGAGAGATTTGCTGGTAACTTGATCTGGTGCAGTTCACCTGTTCTAAAGTATTTTTTGTATGATTTGAAAGTGTAATCTCTAATGACAAGATCGAGAAGCCGGGCCGATTTTATTTCTTGGGTTTGAATTTGAAGGGCTGATAAAGATGCAAATGAAAGAACAACCAAAGTGAAAGGGAGAAGGAAACCCATTTAAGTTAGTTTTCTTGTCCTATTTTCAGGCTCAAACATGAGAACAGCAGAATTTTGAATTCTGCGGAGGTTTTTAGAATGATCTGAGGTTACTTCTATGTTAAAATGAAATTATATGTTGTTGGTGGAAGCGAAAATTTTGGGTCAAAGTGTGGCTTTAGGCGCGAGGGAAGTGAGAAAATTTAATACCATTTGTTCAAATGATTTGTGTTCGAATGTGAGTATTTTTTATAAGTGCATTGATTGAAAATGCCATGATCAATGTATTCTAATATAGATGTGAACACTATAAGAATCATGATTAATGAGGCCCAATAACGTGACCTAAGAGAAAGTTTATAAATGAATTACAGAAAAGTTGGGAAATTTTAATTATGACTAAATTGGGAGAATCTAGCTTAATAAAAACTCGTATGATCAAGACTACTAGGAAGGTCGATTGTTTTGCTAAATTTTGCAAGTATGTTTTCATAGTTTAGTAATAAAGACTTAAGTAAAGTATCGTTCCACGAAGATTATGTCTTTAATTAGACTTCAATTTAGATTAACTTTAACCGAAATATCAAACCATGTTTTAGATTTATAATTACATATTAAACCTATAACCAACTAAATTCCAATCTAATTGACTAACTAAGATGCATTTATGTGACCCAATTAATGATAATCGCCAAGACTTCGAATTCTACCTAAATTTTTCAATTTTAATAATATCAATTCCATAATTTAACAACTCTTGCTTGAATTTAACTATCAACATTCCTATTTATTAATCTTTCTCGAGTAATATTAAAACTATCGTCACATACGATCCTAATATATATCTATGAAGGATACAAACAAAAGAAAATATATTAAATTACAAGAACATTCAATGAGATCGTACAGCGTATGACATTAAATATCTATTTTTTTATTGGACTTTACAATAATTGTTACTACAAGCTATAATTTCTATTCTTTCTTCCCGAACAAAATAAAAGTCACAAATTAATTCAATTGTCGGCCAAGTAATTTAAAAACATTGAAAACCTAACAATTATTCAAATTAAAATTTAGAATTTAATATTAAAACACCAAACTGTAGGATTCTCCGTTGTCCTAGCGTCTATACATTAGCTGAGCATCACATCACCCATAATTCACGTGTAGAAAGAAGAAATATAATCTTGATCAACTCTTGAATCTTTTGAAAAGGTCTTGAATAATCTTCTGGAACCATGTTCTCTCCGTCCCCCACAACCCCCGCCCCCCGGGAAAAAAATAAAATAAAATAAAAAAATAATAATAATCCAAGCAATTGTATGAAATTTACTTAGATTAAGAAATTAAATCTGGACAACCTCGAATAACCATGCTGTCGCAAGGTACAGATCTTTAAAATTGCATGGTTATGCCTTCAAACATGCTGACATCGTTTTTCATTGCTTGCATTCATGAGGTCTAAAGCCTGACGATCACAGGGTTCATTCTTTCTCTCCAGATGTTTAATTAGCTGGTTCCCAATTTAACCTTTGGTGGTCCAACTTGGTCATCATTTTAAGCCTCAATTATGATATTGAAAGTTCCAAAATACCCCACTTTTATCACGAAATGTTATAATCATTCGAAATTGATTCGTTTCAAGTTCTGAAAGTGTGCAATTTAGTCCAAGAACTTTTCAAAACTTGAATTTCTCCTTAGAAACTTATGATTTTCTTCAAGTAGTTCTCATTTTTCTTCTTATCACCCCCGTGCCATGCGATTAGTCATTAATAGCTTCTAATCAAATCTAAATTAAGCTCAAAATCATTTTTTTTGGCGATAATTTCCTCCAAGTCTGGGTTTCTCCTATAATTAACATAATTAAAATATAATAGGTAGATATACCCTCGGAGAGTAGTAATTAATAAAGTCTAAAACCACGGATCAGCATGTAAAATACCTTATCATTGATGATGAAAATTTACACTTATAAGTCAATGACTCAAGTGCAACAGATCAACCGACACAACACGTCACAATAAAAGTGAATAAACTTATAAGTTCAGCAAGAACTTAAGATGTGATCGACGATCAAGGACAGAGCAGATAACTCTTCATACCAAGCAACGATTGTGTTCAAATTCACACAACTTAACTAATGCTCGCATGAAACGAGGTCATAGTAGTGTGTAGGAATTGAAAGAAACTAAAATTTTACTAAATCCTTTCACAAAATACATAAATCCTCCATGTTGAAATCAAAGAGAAAATTAAAAGTGGAAGCGCATCTTGATCCATAGATGTGAATATTTTGAACAGGTTATGATCTTCCAATTGATATGTAATTTCTTGGAATTTTTTCTCTGTTGATGGGGATGCAGAGAAAATGAAATTACGAACAATTGGGAATCATGACCCCATTATAAATAAATGTATTAAGCAATTATTATCTTTGTGTTATTTCAAAATGGCCTCTCATCAATTTAAAATAACATTTTTTGGTCTCTACACTTTATTCACGTAGCATTTAATACTCATTAGTCCAAAAAATTGACGTTACGGATCACTTTATTTGACTAAGCTTAAAATAGCACAACACAATTTAATAAATATACATGTGTGGCCCCATACATTGAAATTTTTCCAACAATCTCCCACTGGACCATACATGTAATATTATAAATGTGCACCGCTTTATGAGCTCAAAATACTGCTATCATTTTTAATGGTATTTCCAAACAATCTTATCAAACAGATATATTGATATATGATCAAAGCGATTTTCGTCACATTTAGTATGACTAAATCCATCAATGGTCATGTACACCGATACAACCAAATGATATAAATCAATCATAGGAGTGTAACATGAAAATTACATGTTAAGTGATCCGAACATGTCTATTGCCAACTAGTCCACCCTTATTTCTTAAGTGAGATCAATACAGAACATAATAACATAGTGAAATGAACTGAATACTTTATTTTTGTACAAAAAAATCCAAATACACAAATATATCCAAAAACTAAACGTAATGTAATAAGAATACGAACTCCCACTAAAATATGATATCCTCAAGAAATACAGCACCTATACAAGCAGTGTGCTCATGAAAGATCTTGGGTGGCAATCCCTTAGTAAGCATATCCGCAATCATGGAGTTTGTCCCCATGTGTTCTATAGAAATCTGTCCACTCTGTACTCTTTCCTTCACAACTAGGAACTTAATGTTGATGTGTTTTGACTTAGATAAGCTATTGTTGTTGTTGGAATACATTACTGTTGAGCCATTATCACAATATAACTTTAGAGGTCTTTTTATGTCATTCAAAATGTGCAAACCAGTAACAAAGTTTCAAAGCCATATTCCATGATTAGATGCCTCATAGCATGCTACAAACTCTGCTATCATGGTAGAAAAGTTATGAGTGTCTGTTTGGCACTCTTCTAGGAAATAGCTCATCCAGCTAGCAAATAGATATAGTCTGATGTGGATCTCTTACTATCTTGGCATCCAGCAAAATTAGAATCGGAGCACCCTGTGATCTCTAACTAATTCGATCTACTATATGAAAGTATGTAATCATTTGTTCTCTTTAAATACCTCATAACCATTTTAGCTGCTTTCCACTGATCCATCCCAATGTCGCTTAAATATCTGCCTAGTATTCCAACAATGAATGCTATGTCTGGATGTATACAAAGTTGAGCATATATTAGACTCCCCACAGCTGATACATATGGAATCTTCTACATTTCCTTAACTTTAAGGTCATTTTGCTAGTATTGTTTAAGACTAAATTTGTCTCCCTTAGCGACAGGGGTGTCATATGGTTTACAGTTTTGCTTGCCTAACTTCTTAAATATTTTATCGATATAGGTTTTTTGTGACAATTCAAGAATACCTCGAAAGCGATCCCAATATATTCGAATTCCTAGTACAAAATAGGCGTCATCAAGATTTTTCATCTCAAAATTCCTTAATAAAACCCTTTGTTTTCGTACAACATGCCTATATCATTAGTTGCAAGAAATATGTCATCAACACACAAAGTCAGAAAAGTATGCTTACTTCCACTGAACTTGTGATACACACAATTATCAATGACATTCATCTCAAAGCCAAATGGTATAATGAATTGATGAAATTTATAGTACCATTGACAAGAAGCTTGCTTGAGCCCATATATAGATTTCTTTAATTTACAAACCATATTCTTCGGGACTCCTGACACAAAGTTTTCTGATTGCACTATATAGATTGTCTCATAAATGTCGCCATTGAGAAACGTCATCTTAACATCTATCTAATGTAACTCAAGGTCAAAGGACATAATTGTCCTAAAAGAATCTTTTGTTGAAATTGGAGAAAAAAGTCTCTTTGAAGTTGATGCCTTCCTTTTGGGTAAAGTCTTTAGCAAGACGAGCCTTATATCTTTTCACATTACCATTTGAATCCCTCTTGGTTTTAAAAATTCATTTACAACCAATATGCTTTAGACTTTCGAGTAATGGGACAATATCATAAACTTTATTGTCTTGCAGAGACTTATTCTCCCATTCATGGCATCAATCCACTTTTGAGAGTTAGAACCTTGCATGGCCTGATGGACATTGATTGGATCATCTTTCACCATTCCATTATTTTCCTCATGTTCTTGGAGAAATACTATAAAATCATCCGGAATAGCACTTTTCTTCTCTCTCATGATTTCCTTAATGGTATTGGTTCTTGAGGTTGTTGAGTTTGTATTTCTTGGATAATTACCTCATTTTGGATGGGAGGTTCTTCAACATTGTCTTGTTGAGATTCTGGATATACTTCTTGATCAATGATAGTTATAGAAACCTATATATCGTCAAAAGCAATAGTAGGAATCAAAATCGATCCTTCCTTAATTTTTTCTTTAAAGACAATGTCTCTAACCTTATTTCTCCCCCAAACTCAACATCCTAAAAAATGTTGCAATCCCTGTTTCAAAAATTGACTTAAGTGTAGGATCATAAAATTTATAACCCCTAGATTGCTCAAAATAATGAATAAAATAGTTGTTCACTGTTTTGGAGTCCAATTCTTTTCATGTGGCCTATAAGGTCTAGCCTCAGCTAGACATCTTCAATTGTGAAAATGCTTTAGATTAGGCTTTCTACATGTCCAAAGCTCATACGGTGTTTTGGCAATAGCCTTAGTTGATACTCTGTTCAGAATATAAGTTGCGGTTTTTAATGCCTCTCCCTAGAGTGGTTTTGGTAAGGTGGAATGACTAATCATACTCCTTACCATGTCATTATTCGTCTTTCAACTACACTATTCATGCTAGGCAATCTTGACATGGTGTATTGTAGGACGATTCCAAATTCCTCTAGGTATTTAGCAAATGGTCCTCGACATTATTCACCTGAACCGTCATATCCGTCGTTGTACTCACTACCATAGTTAGACCTAATACTCTTTATCCTTTTGTTGAGTTGATTATCAACCTCAGTTTTAAAAGCTTTGAACACGTCTAGTGACTCAGAATTTTCATTGTTGAGATATAGGTACCCATAAAATGAGTAATCATCTATGAATGATATAAAATATTGTTGACCATTCCAAGAAGCCGTTGGAAATGACCAACAAATATATGCGTGTATCAATTCTAAGACGTCCAATGTTCTCTTAGCACCTATCTCCTTGTTTTGGTCTATTTTTCCTTGATATAGACAATACATCAAAATTCGTGAAGTTAAGGGAATCCAGAATACCATCCGACACAAGTCGTACTGTAGCTTTTGAGATGTGACCTAAGCGCTAATGTCATAATTTTGCTGAATTCTCTTTATTTAATTTGTGTTTAGCACCAAGTGATTTCACATTCAAGGTCTCATTATATGATGCAAAAATATAAAGCAAATATAGGCTGTCATATGTACATAATGAACCAGTACCAATAACATTGGAACTTAATGAAAGACTAAATTGATTGTTTCCAAATGAACAACAGTTTATAGATTTGCCCAACGAAGTACAAAAATTAAATTTCGTCTAAAAGATGGTACAACAAAAGTGTCTTTCAAATCCAAATAATTGCAAGTTCCTAATAATAACCTAAAAGTGTCTATTGCATCAACTTCCATCGTGTCATCACCCACATAGATGTATCTTTCACCATCACTTGACTTTCGATAGCTCAGACAGCCCTGCATAGAAACACTTATATGAGTAGTAGTACCAAAATCTATCCACCAAGTGTTTCTAAGTACTGAAGCTAAATTATCCTCAAAACAGACCAAAGTAATAATTGTACTTTTCTTTGCACGCCATGTATGATATTTGGTACAGTTCTTCTTCACATGTCCAGTCTTATTGCAAAAGAAACAAGTTCCTTTATCTTCCTTCCATTTCTCTTGGGACAGCTTCATATTCCTTCTTTTTTTCTTGTCATTATCCTTAGAAGTGCTTGCCAAATGAGTGCTTTTAGTTCTTTCTTACTTTAGCATTTCTTCCTCTTGCACACAATATGAAATGAGCTCATTTAGAGACCATTTCTCCTTCTGACAATTATAACTGATCTAAAATTGACTAAACTGTGCAAGAAGCGAAATCAATATCAAATGTACGAGCAAGTCATCAGATAGCTCAAGCTTTAGCCCTTTAAGTTTAGAAGCAATGTGAAACATCTCCATGATGTACTCTCTTATGTTCTCCTTGCCTTTATACTTCATTGAAATCAAGCTTTACAAAAGCGTACTTGTTTCAACCTTATCATTTTTCGCAAAACACTTCCCAATTTCGGCGAGAAACTCCTTGGTATTAGTTACCCCTTCGGATTCTACACCTCTAAAGACTTCTAAAATGCCATGCTTAATGATCATTAGACTCGTACGATTCGAGTGATCCCACTTTTCAAAGTTCTTCTTTTCATCGGGTGAACTTTCTTTCGTAAAAGGGGTGGATTCCTCAATCCAAAATGCAAGGTCAAAATTCATGCAACCAAGAACAATCAAAATGTTCTTCTTTCGATCCTTGAAATTTGTCATATTAAGCGTGGGAATAGAATTAACATTTACAGATATAGTAGTAACAGATGAATTAGTTGTACAGAAAACAAAAATAAAGAAATAATCATGATCATATCAATATCCACATTTAATGAAATAAATTCAAATAAAGGTAAGCCCTATCCCAAGATACCTGGTGCAACATTTATATCAAGTCTTTGGATAGTAATATTAATTGCAAGTGGTAACTTGGTATAATGATCAAACATTAACAATAACTCTTGCTAAATTTTAAACCCATCTTTGGATGGATTTATTATTCACATGAAAACTTTATAATTGTCACACGTTTATCACCACAAGTGTATAATTCGGTCAAATATTAACATTCCTTTAGGCTGGTTACTACCCGCATGAACACACACACACACACGCACACGCACACGCACAAAACATCTAAACATCCCAAACAAACCAATCTACATGAAAGGGGTCACTTTGGTGACATGTTGTTTCAATTAATTTATTTAAAATGCTAGATAATCTTAATTTATCATAAATGATTTACCAAAATATTTGAATTTGATTATCCCACATAATTAAATCTCAAAAGAGTCCTTAGTACCAAAATGTGAGAAAGAGAATCATCAATTTTGCATCATTAGATGCATTTTGAACTTTAGGGACCTAAGGGTTAATAATTCAAAACTTTAAGGGTCGAAATTTGAAAAATTTAAAACTTTGAGGGCCAATTTGAATTAATTATAAACATTGAGGGCTTTAATTGTAAAATTCAGAACTTTAATGGCCCAAATTAAATAATTTTCAAACTTTAGGGATTGAATTATTAAACCTAGAGCTTCAAAGGTCCAACTTGATGTATTTCAAACTTTAAGGACTAAAATGTAAAATTATATTTTTAAATATAACTAACCCTAATCTTAAATTGCAAGCAAGGGCCTGAGATTATCAAAATTGCACCTTAGGCCACCGTCCCCAAAATCCATCCCAATCTTTCTCTTTCTCCCTCTTTCCCAAGCCCCATCAGCGCCGCCCCAGAACAGCAGCTCCCGGCGCTGCTGCACCTTAACACTAGTTTCGACTACAACACAAGCCAGAAATTCCCCCCTTTTTTTTGAAACTTTAAAAAACCATAAACCGAATTTCCATAAATTCTTAATCCTAATCTTTACAAATAACCATAAACAACATGCCAAATAATTTTCAAATTCAACAAAAACAGATCCCAAATTGTTAAATCTGAAAACTTGAAATATTGCAAGTAAATTCTATATAATCGTATGGTAGAAGATCAAATAACCCAAATATTCAGAATTGTTAGAACCTTAGTTCTTGTAATTTCTCAAAGATTCAAAATTGAGTGCTCTGATACCTCTTGTAGGAATTGAAAGGAATCAAAATTTTACCAAGTCCTTTCACAAAATAAATAAATCCTCCATGTTGAAATCAAAGAGAAAATTAATAGCGGAAGCGTATCTTGATTTATAGATGTGAGTGTTTTGAATGGGTTATGATCTTTCAATTGATACATAATTCCTTGAAATTTTTTCTCTGTTGATGGGGATGCAGAGAAAATGAAATCACGTACAATTGAGGACCATAATCCCATGATAAATAATTATATTAAGCAGTTATTACCTTTGTGTTATTTCAAATTGGCCCCTCGTTAATTTAAAATAATATTTTCCGATCTCTACACTTTATTCCTATAACATTTAATACCCATTAGTCCAAATATTGACTTTATCGGATCACTTTTTTGACTAAACCTTAAAATAACACCACACATTTTAATATATATACATGTGTGGTCCCATAAGTTGGAATTTTTCCAATAGAGTGACATTGACTCAGTACATAGACGTGTCATTCGAAACAAATGCATCTAAAGGTAGTCTCTGTTGCACTTTTGACCTGATTGGCCAAACAATACCTTTTCTTAATAAGGATTAAAAATTCAATTTTTTTTTCTATTTTATGAGAATTAAGATAAGTACTTTGAATTATCCATTCCATCTAATACAATTTATTTATTTGCATGCTTGCCTTCAAATGAATTACAAGGCTTTTGAGGGGGGTAGAATTAGATGAATAAAGGTATGAGTAATGATTTTGGAGTGTGGAGTCATGATGAAATGAAGTCAAAAGGAAATGAAATTGGGACGGCGTGCTTGAAGAAAATAGAAAGAAAGCAAAGAGACATGTCTCCCACTTCTATAATTTTGTGGGCTAGCATGCATAACAATTCATTCTTTACAATTTAGGGGCCTTTATATTTTTCAATAGACAAACCTTCCCCTTTTTTGAATCTTTTAGGGAACCACTGGGCAAGTCATTATGATGTGTGGTTTCTTGGGTAATATGAGAAAAAATTCTTTCTTTATTCTCTTCAAAGTCGAAAAGAATGTTCATCTGATGAGTGGTTCCTTGGATAATACAAGCCATTTTCTTTCCTAGAATTTGAGGTTACGAAATTTTGTGGTATGTTAGGTAAAAGTAGGTTGCCAGGAAAAAATAAGTTAAAAACCTATTAATCTAATAAAAAATAAAAATGTAGTTGAAATTTATAAGTTCATGTATAGAGATAAAATGTACTCACTAGAATATTTAAGGACTTTTTAAGTTGTTCTTTCTTATCATATCATCAAACTTTCATATGACACGTAAAATTGTCATATCTTTCATCCGACAAAGATCAGATACAATATCAATGTCAAAGAGAAGAAATTAGATGCCTTGGCTTAAAAAAAAAAAATGGAAGAAGGGAAAGAAAGAAAGAAAGAAAAAGAAAGGAAATTATATTCGTGCATTACATGCATATATCTCAATGGAAGTTGACATTACTACTATAAGTCAATCCCACTTGCCAATTTGAGGGGGCAACATTCCATGCAATAATAGTTTCATGGGATGTGTATGAAGTTATCTTGAAAGAAAGGGCTTGGCCTCCAAGAGTTGCAAATGCTTGATATGAAGCCCCCCAGTTGTGGCTCATGCTTATCCACCCTGTCTTGCTTCCCTTAACCCACATTTGGGTGATATCGCCACCTCCGGCGACGTTCATCACATACACGAGCAGCCAGTAGCCGTTTCCTTGGAAGGTGAATCGAAGGCCGCCTTTCCTAACACATGGCACTCTACAACAAGAATTTGACATGGTGAATGTGTTGTTAGAGATGACATAGCTTGTGTTTAAAAGTGTTATGCAATCTTAGTATGAAATAGTAAAGATGAAGTTGTGGATCGAAACTAATATGATTTATTGTGAAAGATTTAGTAGCATTGGGCATTCTAATAAGAGCGATAACTAATATCGTATCTATTGAGAATAAATTTTAATTTGTCCCAGCAAGATTTTGTCTACATCTTGTGATAATTTTGTAGAATATTTGACTTTAATTTATTTATTATTATTATTATTTTTATGGCAATTTGATATTTTTTCTATTGAAGTTTGTAGTGTTTCAATACAATTTAAGAATTATGTGATTTTCTATGCAAGTAAATGGGCTTTCATAAGATATCAATCTTAAGAAATCCAATTATAATTTGATGTATAAGTAAAATTATACCTGCGGAACACGATAGGTACAATACCGGCCTTCCACTGTGCAATTTTCATGAATGCGGGCTTAGACATGTCGAAATGTGTCCGAGGCGGGTTGCACCAGCCACCGTTATTCGAGTCCTTAGCCCAGTTGGGAGGGCAGAGGTTTGTGGCGGTGATGGTGGTGCTTGGTGAGCCTCTATAGCACCACTGCGACTTAGCACACCTTATCTGGAAGCATTGACCGCATCCATACCCATTGTTGAATAGTACAGAGCTCAATGCGGCCGTGGCGGTACCATAACCACTGTTGAACAAATTTCCATACCCGCATGCTCCACCTGTTGACGTCAAATTAATGAGACACTATATATATTTGTATTAAACTAATTGAAGAACCTAATGGATCCAACTTATAGATGGACCCGAACCCATGTTGGTTATGTGGTTTCATCATTTTGGGTGTAATAGCTTCAAAGTTAGATAGTTTATGAAGTCCCCTCATCAGACAGGTCCACGTCTCCTTTCAAAGGAGAGGCCTTGGCATTTTGCATAATTAAAAACTAGAAATCAAGATTAGGACCATATCGGGTGCCAATCTTTGTCGGGCTCCCTAGGCCTATGCAGCCCTGGTCTAGGTATGCCCAGGTTAGACAAGGATTGTGAGTGGAATGGCCCACCTCTATAGCCAAGTCAACACGGTCAAGCTATAGGGGCCGTAGACCAGTACACACAAGCCTATATTTTAGAAGGGAAAGAAAAACGAAACGGTCTCTTTGACATTTCTAGATCAGTAGGACGAAACAAACTTGTATACTACTGAATATAATCATGCCAACAAGTAATAAGTCAAAAAATAAGTTGGCACACACCCATTGTCTCGGCAGCAGTTTCGTCACCATAAAACGTGGCATAGGCGAGTTTCCATGCGGTAGGACGAAATACGGGCACATAATACGCCGCAGTTGCTTTGCCTACTACTGCTATTACCAAGAAGAAGATAAAGCACCATGAATGAAGAGCTGCCATGGCTGTTGTCGTAAACTGTTCCAAGAGTCGTTAAAAACTGTACAAAATTTAATGCCTATTGGAGTTGAAAATGATAAGCTTTATATAGTTTAAGGCTTTAGAATATGTCATAGTGTCTACGTGACCCTCACGAACTTGGGGCATCTCAAGTCAACATAGGAATTTTTAATTATAAGCAATATTTGTGTATGTCTGACTTTATCTTGTAACACTTGGTGAAAAAAAATGTTTGTTAAATCCTATAATTTATGAAAACGTGCTGGCAGCTCACTTGGTAAGCCATGGTATTTTTTTCCCTTCTTTTGGTACGGTATTTAACAATGAATAATGCAATGAATGGAGTCTACTATTAATAAATAATAAGAATTCATTAGTTTGTCAATGGTCCATGCCCAACTATCGAGCTATAACAAGAAAATTTACATAAAAAACAGAATGTTTTCCATCTGGTGAACAAATATATCAATATTTTTGTTTGATTGAATGAAAATTTGGTAGAACAAAAAATGGGGTCATTAAACAAAAAAGAAAATTCAAATAAAACGATGTTTATTTTTTATATCGAAAAAGTCGAGAATGTTCAGAAAATAGTTACATAAGAGATAAATAATGATATTTATCAGTTATCATATCCAGTCTTATAAAAAGTTCAACCAATTTCTTTGGTTAAGAAATAATATTGTTATTGAAAGCTTGATAGGTTTTAGGAAAAAAATAAGGTTGTACTCATGACCTTTTACGCAGTATGGTTACTGACCTAAGCCTCCAAAAGTGAGGTTCTGAGTCTTAAATCTATTAAATACGTGGAAGATATCCAAGTGATGTAAATCGTCAAATTGCACACAATTTCACGTAAGTTATAGTTGGATATTAAAATAGCTATTAATAAAATATTGATGACTTTCATCGCGTAAAAAGCACTTGTGATTTTAATGTCCATATAGATGGTTTCAATCACATGAGTACCCAGATTAAGAATTGTTTGAGTGCGGCATACCAAACATATTAAGAAAAGAAATCTAAAATCTTGTCCATCGTATTGACTCTAAACCCATTTCTTTCTGCATCATATAATGAAAACTAGGCAAAAAAAAAAAAAAAAAAAAAAAAAAGAGAGAGAGAGAGAGAGAGAGAGTAAATGACTAATTGTGCAAGAGACTGCTGAGAGTGCACAAATAGTATGAGATGATTGTACTTTTAACTAAATGATGTTCTTCAAAATAGTCAAGCATCTGTGTTCAACAGCGTACAAACCTGTATAAAATTTACAAATGACGTTATGAAAATACTCGAAATACAAATATCTATAGACATAAAAAGCCGTTATTCAGCAACCAAATTGTATCTACACTAAAAACTCTTCTCTGTGTCTTCAGACTCGCACCATTTCATTAGTTCTTGCATTCAAATCCATTAGTGCCTGCCGTATACCAACTCTCAACACAAGAACAAATTGTGCACCCATTTTCATGCAGATATGTTTCCAAGTTACAAATAATTAAAATTTAATAAGGATGATTTAAAGCCCGTTTGGCAAGATTTCTGCTTCCGACAATTTCTTAGTCTTATAAACAGCTTTAAACTTATCAAAAGCTTTGCCAAATGGACTTAATGCAAATTCAATGTAGTTTCCTGCTTCCTAATGAATAAAGAAAAATGATTAAGCTAGGGTCACTATAATGTCCAAGAAGTGATGAAGAAAAGAATGAAATGATAGAAATTCCATATGCATTAACAGTCGGCAGTTTAATGTATGCAATGGTGTACACAAGGCCAGCATGTGTTTTTATACGATTAAGTTCTTTTACATAATCAAAATTTTCAAAATACAGTAAGGTGTAGGCAACCTGTAGCTATGCATTTGTTCAAAATCATAGTCCCCTTAGATTATGTATAATTTCTTGCTGTCACTGGAAATTCTTGTACAAAATGACCTTTTTGTAAGTAAATAATCATTTATTACAAATAGTCGATTTTTTTCAGCTCTTTTCTGTGTTCAGTGATTTGTTTTAGTAGAATCATTATATTTAGATTTGTTGATCTACGTATTCCTAATTCACTTTAGTTCCTAAACTCTCAGGTTGGTCACGTCAATATCCACTTTCTCCATCCTACTCTATATATTTTTTGGTTGTAAACCATAAAGTTATATTACTCGGTTAAGAATGTCTAAAGAGGGTACATACCTCAACTCATGCTTCACTTCCTTCGGGCAATGTAATCAGTCGTGTACTTGAATCATACACCATTTCTGTCCCGCAACTGAAGAATAATTTACCAATGGTCAAGATTATTGCAATAAGTAAAACCATTAGATCAAATAGGAGTCGCCAAAATAATACAGCAAATGCCTAATGAATGCTTGATACTACTATCCTTACTTTGAGCATTTTACATTGTTGGTTGAACCACCGCTAGATATAGACAATATGGTCCCGAAGAAGGAAATATTCTCCGTGCCACAGTTCGGACAGGGTCCCTGAACCAATAAATATGATTGCTTGAATTTTTCTTTCTAATATATATATATATATATATATATATATATATATATATATATGTGCAAAATTGAAAAAATATTGTAAGTATCATCCTTATTTTGACTGTTTATAACAATCTTACCGATAAGATCAGGAAATCTTTGACGATAGTGTTTGTAAAGGTAAAAGATAACCACAGAATCAAAGGCAAAGCTGCAAACCATGTGAAAATGAAACCGAAGGGCTCGGGAAGCTGCAGAGATATTAAAGTATTGAATTAGAATATGACTAAAAGGAATTACTGAACTGAGAACATAAGCCAAAAATTCAACTACATTTTCGAATTCCTGTAACTGTATCATCAACTGTGGGAAAGAGGAATCTCAACAGGAATACAAAAAGTAAAGGGAATCAATTTTCACCTCCAATAGATAGGTGATTTCAAACCCAGTCAAATCATCAAGGAAGAAAAACCTAGAAATGGCATGGGATAAAAAAGCTGTTAGCTCAAGTATTTCTTTCCCTCAATGTGTAAAGTTTCTCTTTACATTCCTGAGGTTAGCCCTTTATGATGATCAATGAAACTATTTGATGTAATAGTATTTCGTAAAGGTTAAGTAGACTGATCGAAGAAACAACTTAAAGGAGCATAGTATCAATTAGTTTCTTTATCTTGAAGCTCGTACAAGTGTATTCATGCAAGTGACACTTACAATCCTAATGCAACAACTGCAGCTGGGACGTTTATGAGAAACATCTTGAGGTAGTCAACAGAAAGGTCACTATAAACCTGCAGGTAGGAGATCGGTCAAATCTTAGTAAGAACCTGTATATGCCAAATGTGAACTTGACTGTCCACACTCATTATATTCTAATAAAGAACCAATGCATATTCACAAATAACCAATACTAGAAAGAAAGAAGAAAACAATGTGGAAACAACCTTAAGCAATCCTTGAAGAACTAACATCATCATTCATTCCAAGAGTGCAGGCTAAGGCTTATGAAATCGTTATTTTGGAAAGGAAAATATATGACCTTGGTGTTTGAATGGCTAACTGGAAATCCATTAAATAGGAAGACTAAATATAAATTTATCCCACAAAGCCTTTCCCTCCTATTTCATCTGAACCTGCTCTTGGAAGTATCAGTTTATCTATATTCTACTTAAAGGCACTGATAACATTAATCACAAAGAAGCTCATCAACTAAGTTTTTCAATTACCTTTCACATGAAGAATTGAACCATCAATAAGTTTTCTTAGTGAACTTGGTCCTGATGTCAACGTCCCAGGACTAGATATGTGGCCAAATGTCAAATTTAGCAAAATTTTAAATCAAGTAAAACTTGTTCAAAGAGCAATTATATACAACAAAGATCATCGCTGATATCGTTTTTGAGTGGAGTGTAAAATATTGAATAACAATTCTATACTTTCATCCAAGTGTCAAATGTATGACATAAGTACTCCCAACACCTTCAAAAGGGTTAAAGAAAAGTAAATTTAAGAAAGAAAGATTGATATTCAAGCTCACGTGTTTGCAAAACATAACTGAGCAATGCATAATTGCATACGTAATAGAAGAACAAACCTTTCTACTTCGAAGGCTACAACGAGGACCCTCAACTACAATTTCACTCGCGTCCATCTAAGAAGATCAAAAGAAACAGGGTAGTAAAATGAGACGATTAAGAATTACATAAAGTGAATTACCACAAATGCTGATTGTCTTAAAATTTCACAAGAAATTGAGATAAAATACAACATATTTTACTTAAAGAAATGTTCTTCCAGGAATCCTGATTTATATGGAACAATCATTTCCAATGATTATAAAGTTGTTTTCTAAGTCGGAATATGTATACGACATCATTTCTCACAAACCTTGAGTTTCAGTTTAAGTTCATCATACTCTTTATCACTCATTATTGGATTCCCAGATACATAAGCCATTGAAGCTTCCAAAAACCTCTGCTCGTCTGCACCTGCAATACTAAAAAGCAAATTACTACCACAGGGATCTAGTAAATGTCACAAATGAATAGGATGAAAGTAAGAAGATTGAAATTCTTATTTACTTAGCATCACGACACTACTTCCTTCCCACATAAGTTCTTCCTTAAGATTATCAAATTCCTCATTTGACATGATAGATTTTCCTTCATAGTAGAATGCCTGTAATGAAGTAAAAATTCAGAACATATATTCTATTACAGAAACAATTAAGATTACATACGAATGAAAATGTACGAGAAGAGATGGGCAAGTTTGTTCTGTAGGGGTCCTCTGTTCATACTTGAAGTGCTTGGAGAAATTCTTGTTCCATCTCCCCAAGAGATTTTTTCTGTTTTTTATCTAAGCTACAATAGGGCAAGACATTGCTGTCGACCACCTCATCTCCTTGAACCTGACCTGAAAATAAACAAGCTGTCAATCAAAGCAACCCATAATGCAAGCGCTACCATGCGTTGTTTGGAAGCATTTGTGAGTACCAGGTTGCTGTAATACAGAGATGAAATCAATATTGGCACTCTCCAAGGAAAGAATAAACCCAAGTTAATGCTAATCCATGTTTCAAACAATACTAAGGTGTTAGACAGATTTCCAGGTTTGCATTTCCCTCAAATGCAAAGATTTTTAGCAATGATCGTGTAACCTCATCTTAAAGCTTAAAATGTTATGGAGCAAATGAAATTCTTCAATGAGATAAACCTTAACACAGATTTCCAGAAAATAAAATTTAGAAATAAACCATGTATAAAGCATTGGAGTTCCATTTTTAAAGGCCAATATTATCCTTTATTAAGAGAAATAGTCTTAAGTCCTCATATTGTTTATTGTTTGTATCTTTAGTTGACTAGGGATTTATCCTAAACATACCCATGATGGTACACAAATGGAATCCGTTTGCTTATTTCCGTCTTACTGAGAAATTGCTTGTTTCTCAATGAGTTCTTATAACTAGTTTGTTGTTTGCTTCTCGACAACAAGATGCCAATAGGGTTGAAAGCAAAGCAATTTTCTTGGTAGAAACGACTAGAAATCAATATACCCCCGTCTCAAAACTTGAAGTTTCAGTCACCAAAAAGGGTCATCAAGAAAAAAATTAAAAAGTAGTACTTAATTCAAATTCTGATCCCTGACCTTGCTGATCAGTAGAGGCCCGAGGAGAAAAAAACAACAATCTGCGTTTAATGGACAACTTTCTGCTGTTAAAATGAATCGACTGAACTCCTGAAGCAGAAGAAGGCAGAGAAGGAGAAGCAGACACAGAAATAATTGGTTTTCTGAATGAGGCAGGGACGAATCTTGGGTTTGTTATACTGAACCCAAGTTTGGTGGCCATTTCTGGCGGGGGAGGGGGTTGCGGTGGAAGGAGTGGATGGATTGCTAAGATTTTGGAACGGATTATGCATTATGTAATTGGGCATGGGAAGTCCGGTGGTTTTGGTGGGAAGAAGGGACAGCTCAAAGATAAGGCAACTGAAGAATGTGTGGAGGGGAATTAAGACACTGTTTGTCTTGATTTCAAGAAAATCTGTTTTTTCTGGGATGTTACAAAAACTGCCAAGTCAGCATCTTAGTCTGAAAAATCTGGGATCTTGTTAGAATGACGCGTAGATGGACAATCACATGAGTTGATGTGTACAGACTGCGACGGACAGCATATTTCTTGACGAGAGTGAGTGATGGAGTTCGAATTCGTACGGGAGAGAAATTTGTTAGAAGAAATAACATTATCTAAAGGGAGGAATTGTTTAGAAATATTTATTTTTGAATGATTTGTGAACAAATATAAGATAAAATGTCCTCTTCAGAGGCGATGCTGTGCTATTTAACGAGGTTTTCATGATCAGCCTCCTTGCCTCAGAGCCTCTGCAGTGGAAAAGACGATGGCCATTTGATCTTTCATTCGGGCAGCCTCCATCTTTAGTCCCTCCAACTGTTTCCTCGTGTCCTTCAACTCTCTCTCCAGAGTGCCGACAGAAGCAATAAAGCTCATCGATGGCCCTCCGACACTTAGCCTCCTCCATCAGGGAGTTGCCTAGCTACCAGACTACATGCTGACCTTACAATGTGAAGGTCCCTTAGTTTTTCTAAGTTTTTATCATTGATTTTCTTTCTCCAAAGTTGCCACTCCACTATCCAGGGTCCAATACATCTGGTTGGCCATGACAAGAATTGCAGGCTCGGCCAGAAGCATCTCCAGCACCTTTGGTTCCAGCTCCTGACGGTTTAACTTCAGAACAAAGGAGCCATTGTCCGAATTAGCTAGGCTTATTTCGGTGTTTCTTGCTTGGAGCCTCTCCCTCTGAGGTGGGTTCAATAGTTGAATGAGGTCTATGAAGTCCTTTTGTCTGATTGACTTGGTAATACAAAAGAACGAGTTCACAATATTATAGTCCTGGAAATAAAGAGAAAATGTGATGCCTATTTGAAAAATTGTCTTTTGAACTAATGCATATCATGAGCATAAGTGCATGATGTTTGCATATTATGTACTAGCACATTCCTTGTCTTTTCTCACTTTTCAAATGATGAGATTCAAGACGATAGCCTAGAGCAAGATGAGCTCAGTACAAATAAAGTAAAAAATTTACTTTTAGTTCGAATTAAAGTTAACTTAATGGTGTTAGGTTTAGTAGGTAATCATTTCTACAAATTATTGCCATTACTTTTATTAATGGTAGGTAACTGTAGCACTTCTAAGCCTAGTGTTAGATTTGCGGTGAACACACAAATGAAACCAGGTGGTATTCAAGGTTTAAATAGATACAAATGTTAGAACGAACGCTATTTGAAGGAATAATGTGTGGTTTCTATTATCTTGGTTTACAAAAATGATTAATAGCTCAAGGCATCGTGTACACTGAGTAGTTAAGTAAATTTGATAGATTCTCACTAGATGATTTCTAAAGTCAAACTATTGATCCAGATGTAGATTTTTTTTTTTTTCCTTTTTTTTGTAAATCCAATTTCTATTGTTGGAAATTGTTACTTTTGAAGATATTCAAATATAATATAATTTAAGAAGTTGTGTTGGATTAAAGAGTTGTTTCTTTTAATCTGAAAGTCTATTGGCAATAGTTACGTCTTGTAACAAAATTTCGTAAGAAGATATATCAAGAAATCTATGAAGATAGAATTAACATAGTAAAGGACTTATTGTCAAAGATTTGTATCCGTTCTTCTAATTGTTGGACCCTTTTCATGTTCATGTCTTTTATATTATAAGGCGCTGTATAAGGTGGATTCGTAATTGGTTTGGTTATTACTGGATGGAACACTGATGGCACTTCCATCAATGAGCATGAATGTGTACTCATTATGTTTCCATTGCCATCACTAATAGAAGCTCCAACGTTGATCATCGGCGAATCTATAGACCCCACTGCCCCTACTATTGACACACTAAAAGTGCAGCTTAAATCAAACAGCCCAAAGAGTGAAGTCCAATTGGGGAGTCCAGGATAAAGGTCCAAACAGGATTATTGATGAATGCAGTGGAAGCCCACGAACACAGTAACATCATCGCCCAAACTTGCAAGATGCCCAGAATCTGAGCGAATGGAGTGCCTTACGGTCGCCCAAAGCGATGACCCCGTTCTTGCCCAAACCTTCGAATCGTCCAAGATCTTAGCAAACATAAAATATTATGGTTATCCAGAATAGCAGTTATTAAGTAATCTTATCACATTCCACGATTCAAGGAGCCCAGTTGAAGGCGATTGAATGACAAAGAGTAATGGCAGCAGTTAGAGATGGCAGTTCCACGACAAGTTAGCCACCATAAAGAAAGTGGATAGTTATAAAGCGATCAAGCAGTTTCCAAGCAGTTTGTCACGAGATAATCATCAAGGGAATATAAAAAGGAAGAGGAGACATAGAGAAGAGGAGAATAAAAAACACTCTCAAATAGAAAATATGTAATTTCAATTTCTTAGTTTAAATTTAAACACTTCTTTTAGTACTCGTGTGCTTGCACCCCTTGGAAGCATTCTGTTTATTTCCAATTGTAAATCATCGCCAATAAATCACCCCTTTTTGGGACTTTGTCTCAGGAAGTTTGTTCCTTACACAATCGTCTAATCCCTTTTTAATTGTTAACGACTACCCACGCGAAACAATTTGGCACGTCCAGTGGGACATTAGTGTTTGGTGTTGAGGATACAAAAAGTGAAATAATATGCCTCACAAATCTGATAAAGAAGCAGCAAGTCAGGGAGGGGTCCAGTATGTGATTGAGCGATATGAGGAACAGCAAAGCTCTCCACAAACAGAGTGACAGAGTCAGAGCAATCACAGCTGTTACGAACCAATGACAGAGTTGAGTCCTCGAACCATGCGTGCATTGCTTTGAGAACTCACACAGGATGTCGTTGTACAGGTAAATCTACGAAATGTTCATAATATGAAAAGATTTACCCAGAATAAGAATGCACATTATGACAACATGGCCAAACAACTGAATACATTAAATGAAATAATGAATAAGTTAGTAGGCCAAATTTGTCAGCCAGTTGTGCCTATTGCAAGTCACTTTCAAGCTAGGACAATTGTATGACATAATTCCCCAGTCCTAAGTCCAAATCAAGGGATAGAACCACCTTTTGGTCCATCTACTTCAAACCAGAGGGATTGTGTAATGCCAAATCAAAATAGTGGTAATGGTACATCAAACTTGGGGGTAACCTAAATGTAAGAGACAATGTCCTAAATAATAGACAGAATACCCCATGTGTTAATGATAGAATAATTATTCAGGCTAATAGTAACAATGGCCCAAATCATAGCAACTTTGTTGCCAACCAAGGACCAAATATCAGGCCTCAGGCAAATCAACCGATGAACGAACCCGTAGGAATTCCATATGACCCCAATGTCATGTTGAGAAATCAAATTATGGAAATAATACAGGATCAAATAGCTTTCAGGGTACGTCCTGTCATTAGGCCGACTTACACAAAGACATATCCTGATTGGGTAGACCAAGCATATCCATGGCCTAGAGGGTATAAAGTGCCAGAATTCTCATTATTTATCGGTTTAGGAGAGATGTCTACTCTAGAACACATAGGACGATTCACATTGCAAAGTGGTGAAGTAACCGACTACCATAAAATGAGATTGTTCCCTAGTTCATTAACAGGAATAGCTTTCTCCTGGTTCATCAATTTGCCAACGAACTCTGTTCAAACATGGCAACAATTGGAGCAATTGTTCCATGCTCAGTTTTATAAGACTGAGTCTGAAGTTACTTTGGTCGATTTGGCGAATCTACGTCAAATGCCAAACGAATGGGCAAAAGGTTTCCTTCAAAGGTTCAAGACAGCAAGAAATAAATGTTTTGTACCTTTGCCCGAAAAGGAGTGTCAAAATCGCTCAAAGTTGTCTAAACTTTGATTTGAAAAAGAAATTCCAAGACAGGGAATTTCCTGATCTTTTCCAATTGAGCTCAAATGTGATTAGGTATGAACAATTAATAAGAGAAGAAGAGCAAATGAAAAATTCTAGCAAGGGGACTTATTATAGAGACCCAAATTTTGATGTTCATACCATTAATGATGAATATCACGATCAAACTGAAATGTATCTGGCCAAATTAATCAAAGGAGACACGTATACTTGTCCTATAATGGCTAAGCCTAGATCGTCGAGCAAGGATTGAAAACAAAAAGACTAGAACGTTCTCGTTCGATGTAACCAAAGCTGACCTTATATTTGATAAACTATATAAGGGTAAGCAGATAAAGTTGAGCGATAAACATAAGTTGCCAAGCCCTAAACAAATCAAGGGTAAAAAATATTGTAAGTGGCATAATGCATGGTCACATTTGACTAACAACTGTTTGGTTTTTCGCCATGTGTTACAGGACGCCATTGAATCAGGAGGAATTACGTTCGAGGATAAGAAGAAGATAGCAGTGGATGAAAATCCTTTTTCACGGCCACTTGGGGTGAACACGGTAACGACTGGTTTCAAAAACAGGTTGTCAAAATTCAAGTTGGTTATAGACGACGAAGATGAGGACCCTGGGCCACACCCCAGTGTCTTTGAACGTATCAAAGGGAAGGAGCCTAATAAGGATGAAGACGTCCTGTGTGCAAGATGTAAAGGAGAAGTGAGTGCAAATACAGAGAAACCAGGGATATGGCAGCATCACCATCGCCCTAGTTTGTTCCCAAACGCTCAGTTTGTTGGAGGGCGAGGTACATCATTCTATAGGGGACCGTCTTTTGAGAGGCAATTCAGGTCAATAAATAATGGGAGAACATTCAAGCCGCAACCTCGCCAACCAAATGTATGGCATTCGTTCCGGTATAATGCGGGAAGGGTGATACCCTTCAACGAGATGACTAGAACCCAACAAAGGCATTTTCAACGAAATTATGGACGAATGATGAGACAACAATAGGGAGTGTCATGTCCTAAGGCGCCTAAACTACTCGAGATAGCCAATC